CCCTTGGAAAAGGGCCCCCTGGGAATGCCCTTGGAAAAGGACCCATGGGAATGCCCTTGGAAAAGGGCCCCTTGGAAACTCCCTTGGAAAAGGAGCCATGGGAATGTCTTTAGAAAAGGGCCCCTTGGAAACTCCATTGGAAAAGGACCCATGGGAATGCCCTTGGAAAAGGGCCCCTTGGAAACTGCATTGGAAAAGGGCCCCTTGGGAATGCCCTTGTAAAAGGCCCCATGGGAATGCCCTTGGAAAAGGACCCATGGGAATGCCCTTGGAAAAGGGTCCATGGGAATGCCCAGGCTGGGGCATCCCGGTGCAGGGCTGCCTGCGGCACGGCTGGGGTCCCGCTGCCGGCAAAGGGCCGATGCAAGCGGGCACGGCTGGCACGACGCGCAGGGCTCGCGTGCGCCCAGGGAGCTGCGGGTGGCACCTCGTGTCCCGCGGGCACCGCCGCAGCGGCAGCGCTGCGCCACGGGCACGACGGGACGGCAGCGAAGCAGGGGGCTGCAGCAGCAGCGCCTGCGGGGGGCATGCAGCATGGATGCCAGGGCCGAGTGCATGGGCACACGGCAGCACCCCGGGCCCTGCAGCGCCCGCAGCAGGGTGCATGGGGCAAGTGCATGGCAGCCTCACCGCATCCGAGGGCACTGCAGGTTCCCCGTGCACCGCAGGTTCCCCGTGCACCCCGGGCCCTGCAGCGCCTGCAGCACGGTGCATGGGGCAAGCGCGCAGGATCCTCACCGTGTCTGAGGGCAGCGCGGGCTGCCCATGCACCCTGGGCCCTGCAGCGCCTGCAGCAGGGTGCATGGGGCAAGCACACAGGGTGCACGGGAGCCTCACCGCATCCGAGGGCACTGCAGGCTCCCCGTGCACCCCGGGCCCTGCAGCGCCCGCAGCATGGTGCATGGGGCAAGCACACAGGGTGCACGGGAGCCTCACCGCATCCGAGGGCAGCACGGGCTGCCCGTGCACCCCGGGCCCTGCAGTGCCCGCAGCAGGGTGCATGGGGCAAGTGCATGGGAGCTCACCGCGTCCGAGGGCACCGCGGGCTGCCCGTGCACCCTGGGCCCTGCAGTGCCCGCAGCAGGGTGCATGGGGCAAGCACGCAGGCTGCACAGGGGCCTCACCGCGTCCGAGGGCACTGCAGGCTCCCCATGCACCCTGGGCCATGCAGTGCCCGCAGCAGGGTGCATGGGGCAAGTGCATGGGAGCTCACCGCATTTGAGGGCACTGCAGGCTCCCCGTGCACCCCAGGCCACGCAGCGCCCGCAGCATGGTGCATGGGGCAAGCACAC